ACAATTTAAGAACAAATCTGTGCGTATGAACGGTTCTTGCATGAGGCCCAGTGTGTGTATTTGCTGTGATGCTCTGCAGACATTTAAAAACAACATAAGACCATTAATGTGACATGATGTTCTGAGGTAGATCTCAGTCTGAACAATGTTAACTGTTTTAATAAGCAGTGAAGAACAGGCTTTTGGTTTTGTGGTCATCTCACACTGTGCAACACGTTACTGTGCACAAAGTCAGATTTAATCACTTCTCTGCAGCAGAATCACAGACGTCACACAGATCCATTAGAGGTCCAACAATGAATGGAAAACATGTGCTCATGCTCTTATTGTTATATCCAGACTGTAAAAAGAGGAGGAGGATAGAGAACACCTGTAGATCCACTAATGTTTGGGGAAAGGATGTCAGTCACACTTCTAGATTTTCAGAAAGACTATTTGCTGCGTGTCTTTCTGAAACTGTCTTAATGATTAGTCCATGATGAACAGTTTTATCTACAAAGAAAAGTGACTATCGTGAACTGTGTAGCTCTGCATTTATCTATAATTAACATTTCTTTCAGAAAGCATCGTTCACCTCAAACTATTCTGAGAGGCAATGGCATGTTTGACACAAAGTTTAAAAAGTTTTGTGCCAAAATGTTAGAGAATACTATTAGTAATCAAAACAGCGTTCCTTGAAGAAATGTAAATAACCCACTGCATGGAAGCTGAAGACTTAAAGATTTTTCTCAGTCTGTAAATTGACGATAAGTTTCAATTTTGCCATATTCAAATTTATCTAAATATCTGTCAGAATGACTAAGTTATAGTTCTTCCTGTGTTAACTTAGTTTTTAACTAAGGTGGCCATGTTGAACCAAGCTGACTGACAAAGTTAAGCAGTTGTTCACGTTTACTAATGATTAATTTCTGAGAGATTCATTGAAATCTATCCTGTAGTTCACAAGATATTCTGCTAACACACAAACAATCAAATGCACACAGATGCAGTTAATTATATGATTGTTCATCTTTCACTGTGTAATTTACTTTCATGGTAAAAAAATAATTTATTTGTCATGGACAGTTAGAACAAGTTGGTAGTATTTAGAGACACTAGTACATTGTACTACATTATACAAACACAATRCAATGTTCTCTATATCAGATAAATGTGATTTCATGTCTTCTAACAAAAGCACTGGAACTCCATGTTTGTTGACAGAAAGGAGGCTCCGCCCACAACTCTGGACGGCTGAAGGTGGGTCAGGTCATCCTGGAAGTGGACGGTGTTTCCCTGAGGGGTCGGGAGCACAAAGATGCTGCCCGGATCATCGCAGAGGCCTTCAAGACCAAAGAGAAGGACCACGTGGACTTCCTGGTGGTTGAGCCAGGTCTATAACATGAAGACCACATTCAAATATCAGACTCTACAAAAACTCCTATTGTTAGTTGTTAGAATTTATGTAGAGTATTACAAACTGGAACATCACTTAARATACCTGAATTAAATGTCTATTCTTTTTTATATTTGTAAGAAGTATATGAACTTCAGAAGAGATCTGTTTCCTACTCGTGTCCTACAACTAATCATCTGTAAAGAGAGAACCAGATGACAGTCAGTCAAAGTCTTTGAAATAGTTTTAGTCTTCATAACAGCTACACTTTTATAAAAATCTGACAGAATAATTTTAATCATTATTTTTGTTGTTCGCAGAAGAATAAACATCAGATCAGGATTAGTGAGACTGTTGGCCCCAGGGCTGGAGATCATGTTGGAGGCCCTACTAACATTATATTTAACTGTAATGGTTCTGTGTACATTAACTTTACACAGAGCTTAATGTAATACTGAACGTCTGAAGCACAACAAATATAGACCTACCATCTGAATTTATGCTACAAACTRTTATAGCTCAAAATTATACAATGTAAAGTTGGTTAGTAAAACTTAAGTACTGTACTAACRTTAAACTGTAAAGAGTTTTAAACACAGGTGGTCAACGAAGGCTTCAACAGATTTCAGCCATTTTCAGTGAGATGTTAAAAGAAAAGAGAACAATAAACTGCATCAGACCAGATCAAACTGACAGATTAATATTTCAGATCTCACCCTCCTTTGTTAAAGTTTTAYTCCACTACTTTCAGATTGGTTGACATGTCATGTCCTTTCAGCAATAAGTCGTTCAGCTGTACATTTAACACAAACAGGATTTAAACACTATTGCACTGGTTCTGCAGAAGAAAGCTAGACTTGAACTGTTCTATGAATTGTTCTAGTTTAAAAAGAAAAAAAGGATTTATACACAAGTTTTTGCCCCACCTTTCTCCTCACATCTGTTTTCATGCCCGGCTCATACCTTTCTTGATGCTGTGTTAAAGGGACAAAATTTTATTAATAATGGTTTCCAGTAAGAGCGAGTCTTAATGTCATGAGGAAGCAGAAGTCAGCAGAATAAAGAGCACTGATGGAAAAGTTATTTTACTTGTAAAAGGTCTTTTAGGCTCATCCAGCAGGGAAATGTTTCTGTGAAAATTAAACTTTTTAAATGTTTCAGCCATGCGTCCACACAGAAACAGTATTTCAAAGAGTGGTATTTTTTCAAGTGCAAAACTACACTGGACTTAATGAAATCCATGATGTTTTGGCCCACCTCTAACCTACATCCCCGAGCGTGATGACAGATCACCTGTTTGTGTTTGTGTTGTAGATGCTAGTTTCTCAGCAACAGTAAAACCTTTATTTTCAGTATTACTTCATTAAGGAGACAAGGCTGATGAGCAATACATTGCCTCTGTAATAACAGAGCAAAGCCCCTCATTGCACCAAATAATCAAAGGCAAAAACAAGCAAATGTTGCAGGAATATGACTATATTGTACATTAAATCTAAGTGTAAAAACATATGACTTGTGTATAATTTATATTGATATATTTGTACTGACACAACTCCCAGTTAATCTGCACTGTCTTGCATATTTTTGATTTTATAATATAATATGAGACAAAGAAGAAAAAGTTTCATTTGCTCATCGGTCCACAGGAAGGATTCTGTCTTTTTCCTGTTCGTGTTGAAACTTTAACCCACAGAATGTACAGTACAAAGTCTATGGTTCTGACCCACTGTGTAACTGTATTCTGCATGTTTCATCTTTTGTTTCCTGTTTCTGTTGTACATTACACGTTACAGAAGCAGCACAGCACCACTTGCAGGCCGGGCATAGTTACTACAGGTTATACATGCATTATGTGGACAAAGTAATTCTTGAAATAGTGCTGTGTTTACAAAAATATTTTTAGAAACAACAAAAAAAGACTGTTTTGGTAAAAACATTCATTTATATAAATA